TTAAAATGTAATTTCACATATATAAAAGTATTAATGAGAGATCTACTAATTTCAACTAAAATGTAAGATAAGTTTTTGAAATTAAACTAGACTAAAAATACTATAATATAATAAATAAAATAATATTATATTGATGAGATACTCTTACCAATAGAAATGAAAAGTTGATATGAATTTTTTAAATTTTATGATAATAATAATATTAATATTTTATTAGTGAGATATTTAGTGGATATCTGAGCATAGGAGGTGCTCTAAAAAATTGAATATATATGGTTTTATTATGTTGGCTATTATTATTCAAAGTTGGATACGCATGTTTAAGTTTATTGGACCATATTGGACCGACAATAAGATAAATGGGCCTAAATACGAATAATTTGATTGTAGAACAAGCAACGTGGCGATTGATTAGTGTGAAACCCGAAAGTATTGCGAAAAGTCGCGTTCGAAACATTATCGCAGTCAGTGTTTACTTGCTTTTTTCTTCCAGAACACGTCTACCATAATAGTATATCATTTCCCCACAACTTTCTACAACGTGACCAATGAGAGAGAGAGAGAGACTTTTTAAAGTTTCTGCAACCGTGTCGGCGAAGCTATACATACAATAAGAAAGAGGAAGAGAAATTAATAACAATATTGAAAAGAAAGACATGTTCGAGGAGGACGATGCTAGACTTAACACGCCTTTGTTGGTTATCACGGAGGCTTTCGAGGATCTAGCGGATTTGCTGAAACCGCCGTGTAAGCAACGGTGTTATCTCGGCGACGAGTCAGTTGATGGATTGAGGCTCGATGCGTTTTGCAATGCGTGTACTCATGTCTCTGTTCTCTTCGGTTGTCTCGGATTCGCCTTCAAGTTCGCGGAGATGGAGTACGTTTCCAAGGTTTGAACCCTTAATTTAAATTCCTAGAATTTTTGCCTATTAGTATATATTTTTGAATCCGGGTCGAATTTGTGACCGGACCGAGATTATCCGTTGATAATATCGTGTTTAAAATATAAATGATCACCAAGTGATTGGTGGCCTAGTGGTCTTGAGAGTTGAAAAAGAGTCTTCAAGGTCACTAGTTCAACTCGTTTTGAGAGGGGTGATTTATGCTTTAATCATGGTATTATCAACGGCTGTCCCGGATACCGAGGAGATTATGGATCAAAGATCCGGAACTCCAACAGTTTATCAAAAAAATAATATATATATATACCACAATACAAGTACTTGGTAATTTACCGAGCCAAATTTGTTGAAAACCAGGTAAGGGATTTGGTGGAGGCGTCAAAAACATTCAACACGTTACAGAACATTTTGGATCTAGATGTGGAGAATACAACAGTAAAAAAACCGGGAAGCTATTCGCGAAATCTGCGACGTGTTAGACAAGGCTTAGATCTAATCCGAGCCATTTTCGAACAATTCTTGATGACCAATGAGTGTTATTCTTTGAAAGATGCTGCAACAAAAGCTTATACACAAGTGTGTGCACCGTTTCATACATGGACCGTTAGAACCGCGGTTTACGCAGGAATGTATACACTTCCGACTAGGGACCAACTTCTGTTACGGCTCAATGAAACAGGTGAGGTTTATTTTGGTCGAATGAATTTGATGTTTGGTTTCTCTCGAAAATGTTGATTTCTTACTCGTTTGTTTTGTTTTGATGGTTTTAAAGATCAATCTGTGGAGAAGAACATGAGGAGGTACATGGAAGCGTCGCGACCAATCATAGATTATATTGACAAGCTTTACATTGATAGGAACATTAAACTGGATTGGTAACAAACAATTTTTTTGTAACAAAAAGGTTAGTCACTGGAAATTTTAAATTGGGGCTTTGTTCTGGTGATTGAATTGTTTGTCTTCACTCTTCATTACTTCAGAGAAATTATGAAAACCTCAGTTTAGCTTGATTTATTGTAAAACTTAGGGGCCTTTATTCGTAGATTGATTTATGTGGATTTTGTAGATTTTGAAAATTCTGAGATTTTATAAATTTTGATGGATTATCATTGATTCTTAAAAGATATTCCTAGGATTGTTATTGATTTGTCATA